GGTCTGGAGAATTATTTTAAATTTATTTATCTCTATTGGATTATTTTTTGACGTAACAACAATATCCCAACAATGCCTCAACAATAAACATAAATGTCAAAAAATAATTTAAATTATTTTCCCGGCAATAATGTGAGTAGATTATTTCAACTATAATAATGTTTTGATTGGCTAAAACACACATGACTAAAATTGAAAGTTTCTATTGGTTTTTAAAAACGTCAAAAAAATTCAATGGTATTTTTATTTATGCAGAGATCACAATTATAGATAACAAGGCCACACAACAAGGTCTGTTCTATCTCGTTTCGCGCATACTAAAAATCACTGCACAGACTTTAACAGCGGCCATTTTTATTGTGTGTACAATTCTTGTGGTTCGGGTTTGGGCTGTTTAAACAGATTATTTATAAATCCTTTTAAACATTGTGTTTTTTACAGAGAAACATGTAAGCCTCAAATGAGGACTTAAATACCAAGGACAACCATTTTACTCCTTTTTTGTAAAAAATAAACCTTATTCTATCAGGACTGTCATCAAACTGTCAAACTTCAATTTTAAGGTTAATTTATCATAACCCACAAATTTACCATGCCCACGAATTAACGTTAAAATTGACATTTGACAGTTTGATGACAGCCCTGATAGAATAGGGTTTATTTTTTACAAAAGAGTTAAATGGTTGCTCTTTAAGACTTAGCACTTTAAGGCCTCTTGTAAGGCTTACAAGTGCCTCTGTAAGAAACACAACGTTTAAAACGATTTTTAATCTGTACAAACCCAAAGCACAAGAATTTTAAACATTAAATTCATACAAAATATCCCCCTTTTTTGACAGAATCTGTCGGGAAAATTTTCCCGCTATCTTGTTCTTTTTCGACAATTGTACCCCCTTCCCCCTCTGTAAAAATCTCAGTCAGGATCTTTTCTGAGGTGGTTATCCTATCTCAGATCATAAATGAGGACTCCTCATTGAGGACCCTAGAAGCCAAGGGATACAAGTGACATTTAAAAAAAATGTAGTTATGTACAGAAAAAGGTAGTAAATGGTACATTTTACTCGGTCTCCAAGGGATATACTGAATTCTAAGCTTAGACATGTCAAAAAACAACAAACAATTTTGACTCCAAATTACAAGTGTGCTTTAAACATGATTATCTCAAAATTAAACAAAATGTACTTATACCCCTTGGCTTCTAGGGTCCTTAAATGTAAATACCATTTTATAGAAATTCTCGGAAAATAGCTTTTTCGTGAATAACAAAGGTATTATGCCTCTTTTTTGTATCGTAAACCAAAAACGTTAAAAGCAGTTTTTTGTGCACAAAACTCGTTAAAATTAATCGTTTTGGTTTTGTTCGTTCTTTGTCTTTTTGGTAGGTACAGGGTCCGGCACTGAAACTTTCTTTTTTCAATGAGACGTGAGGACGCTACTGGAGATGATTGCGGCGCGGCAGTGCTCTTAAAGAAGAACGTTGGTGGGGAGATTTATTGTTTCTTAACCGTCAGTCGTAAAAATGCTTTGGGCGAGAGAGCAACCCGCGTTTGCAGTAGAAACGTTCTTTTCACAAGGCCGCTCAATAGTTGCGGTGCAGCGTGCGTTCCGTTTACGGTACAATATTCCCCCTCGAGGAGCTGTTCCTGCCCGGGGATCCATCTTATCCTGGGTGGAGGCTTTTAGAACAGTTGGAAATGTGGGCCGCAGGAGACCAGGAGCAACACGGTCTGTTAGAACACCCGCAAACATCGAGGCAGTCCGAGAGTCGGTTTTGCGATCTCCTAACACATTCGAAAAGTTCTTGTGTGACTACCATTTTGTAGGGGTGAAAGTGAAGGTCTTCATGAAGAATTCGGCGAGTTGAAGGCTCCGACAACCGCAGGGCAGCGGCATGTTTTGAAGCAGAGCGCCTAGGAGATCGCAAAACCAACTCTTGGACTGTCTCGATGTTTGCGGGTGTTCTAACGGACCGTGTTGCTCCTGGTCTCCTGCGGCCCACATTTCCAACTGTTCTAAAAGCCTCCACCCAGGATAAGATGGATCCCCGGGCAGGAACAGCTCCTCGAGGGGGAATATTGTACCGTAAACGGAACGCACGCTGCACCGCAACTATTGAGCGGCCTTGTGAAAAGAACGTTTCTACTGCAAACGCGGGTCGCTCTCTCGCCCAAAGCATTTTTACGACTGACGGTTAAGAAACAATAAATCTCCCTACCAACGTTCTTCTTTAAGAGCACTGCCGCGCCGCAATCATCTCCAGTAGCGTCCTCACGTCTCATTGAAAAAAGAAAGTTTCAGTGCCGGACCCTGTATTATTACTCGAGAAATATTCTTCCTAAAATTATAGGTAATTTTTAAGAACTCGTAGTTTTACACGTAATTGTTTTTAAATATAGTACAAATAATTTCAATATTTGAATATTTAAATATAAATTATTGTCATGGACAATTATTTGACCATTTAAAAATATTTAAATATTTAAATATTTATATCCAAATATTTGAATATTTAAACAATTCAAATATTTGAATATCCAAATCATGGAGCCACATGACACAAGGAGTCCGAACTTCATATACAGGGTGTCACCAATTAAGTTGTCATCCTTTAGGTGGATGATAGTACATACCAAAATAAGATAGTTTTTCCTTTGTCATTTTTGCATTAGTGCCATATTTTTTTTATAAAAAAATCATTAAAATTTTTTAAGTAGAAATTTTGGGCCGTCACTGGTTGTTCCTGACCTATGACAACCGTCGCAAAATATGCTTGCACAGTGGGCAATAATCTACATTCATTAAACATTTACATTTGTGTTATCATTGATTAGGTACTTTGTTGATAATTGATTTTTGTTTTGCATACTCAGCTATTTTTAGGTGAATAAAACAATACTTACTTTTATTCTTAGGTATCTCGAGGTTTCCGTGGTTTTCCTATCGATTTTAAATTACACCTTTCACTTTTTACGTCGATTGATGTTCATGTATATATCCACACAAAGTTAACAGCGGCGTAGAAATTTATGATGTGTCGCTCTTGCCATCATATCCGGATGATTTAGGATTTCATCTGCCGCTGCAGTGACAAGTTCGCGGAGTTGTTTTAATGTGTCAACTTACAATACACAGTGCGCATACATGTTTATTTTTAGCTTGGATGAATAATATCATTGTTTTTAGAGGTATAAACAATGTATATAGTTTTGGTCAGTGACATCCAATGGCTTCCTGGTTTTGTAAAAAAAAAGTCGCTCTAATGCAAAAATGATAGAGAAAAAGCATTCTTGTTTTGGCATGTAGTACATGCCGTGTACTATCATACCCCAAAGGATGACAATTTATTAGGTGACAGTCTGTATACAAATATGTTACTAAAATAAGAGGGCGCTGGTGTTCTTTTGATTGTTCTATTTGCACCGAAACGCTAGCAAAACAGCAGACGTCAGTACGCATTGATAATTAGCGCCGCTGGTGGTGAAAAAACAAGACCTAATTTGTGCAATTTAGTTGGCAGGTTTTGTCAATTTTCCATACTAAGTTTGGACTCCTTCTGTAGGCTCCATAATCCAAATATTCGAATGGATTTGACTGACTAAATTATCAGTTGTAAAGCCAGCCATGTCAATTGACCCTTAAAAGATACCCTACAATAACTGTTACAAGGCCCTTTTATTATTTATAGGCACTAGGGTGTGTCATTTTTAAGCAAATTTTTTTTAAAATAAAAAACAGGCTAAAAAATTTTAGGAAGGTGAAAAAAGAAGCCTCTAAAAATTTGAGCTCTTAATAAGAACATTAAGTGGTGCCTGTTCCTAACTTTCCATTTTCCATTTAAATAACATGGAAAAAAAATTCTTTTTTCTTATTTTTGTATCTTGAGATTGAAGCATTTTAAAAACGAACTGAAAAATTATTTTGGTGGGAAATTGAACGATCTACAAAAAAGTTCTAATTTATTTTTTCATAGAGTAAGCCGTTCTGAAGGTATTCAAACTTGCAAATGTATGAAATTATGACTTTTATTTTATTAAACTAATACCTACTTTTTTTGTCTTAAAAATTATTTTAAGAAAAAATAATTATTTTCGTATAGAAAGAAAATAACACTTACATCTAAATTTTTTTCCATTTTATTTTATTTACTATCAAAAAAAGTTATTTGTGTTCAATAAATTTGTTCAATAATTATAATAGATTAAATAAAACAATGAATTTGTTATTGTATTGAATTTTTAATCTTTCTTTATTTTTTATAATTTTAAAGTCGATTACTCTGATAAAAGATTATATCGGCTCAGTCGGTATATTACCGTTCGGATTAAACAGTGACTAGAGGCACGCTAACGTGCCGCGATTCGAAATGTTAAAGGCAACTTTAAGTTTGAATACCGTCAGAACGGCTCACTCTATGAAAAAATATATTGAAACTTTTTTGTAGTGCGTTCAATTTCCTACCAAATGTCAAGCTACAAAAATAAGAAAAAAGAAAAAAAAAATTTCCATTTTATTTAAATGGAAAATGGAAAGTTAGGAACAGGCACCACTTAATGTTAATATTAAGAGCTCAAATTTTTAGAGGTTTCTTTTTTCACCTTCCTGAAAGTTTTTAGCCTGTTTTTTGGTCGAAAAAAAAAAGTTGCTTAAAAATGACACACCCTAATAGGCACCTGTGAAACGCGATTTTCTCAAAACTACGCTTTCGAATACAGCTACGCTATATTATAAAAATCACTCCATGAATTTAGATGAAATTTGATTTAATATTTCTCGATATTTCTTATACAAATTTTCGTGAAAGTTACCTAAAATAAAGCGGAAGAACTTGGTATTGTGTATTAAATAAAAAATCCCATAGAACAGTTTAGAAAAAATCTTGAAAATGTCAATTTTTCTACGCCTTTGACTGCATGTAACCCCTTAAAATTAATTCTAAAACAAATTTTAATCATAATTGAATTAATTATGATTATTTAATAATTTTATCTTATCTTGTAATAGGGACATACAAAATATAAAGATTGAAGTGAGGTAGGTGTACTTTGCATTGGGCCATGCATCAGATTTTTTTTCCCAATTGAAATTTTTTCAAGGTTCTATACATCCTGTATATAAATTGACTGGCTTACCTAGGCTTCTAAATCATCTTCCTGCTGACTGGAAAAGTACGACACCAAACCTCCAAATTCGCCTTCGCCCTCGCCTGGCGGTTTTCCGTTGGTGGTTTCCGGCTGAGCGGGCGGCGGCGACTCCTCGTACTGATCGTTGTACTGAGGATGCTGAAACTCCTCGTCGACCATAGTCGGGTCGCCCTCGTAGTAGGTGGCGGGAGTGAGCGGGGGCGGGTATTGTCTTTGAGGGGCGGCCGGCGAAGGCGTCGATAGCGCCGCCCGGACTACCGGAGTGACGCTGATCGAAGGCGGTAAGTTAAGGCGAGCGGATACCGCTGGCACCGGGGGTCTTTTGTCGGGGGCGGCGGCAGCAGGTACAAACGGGTGCTGCTGCATTCTTGTTGGCGGCGCCGGCACCGGAGGGCTTCTTCTTTGGTAGTGATTCATTGGAAGGCCGGCCGGCGGAACAGGTCTGTACGGTACTTGCATTGGGCCTCTTGGTCCTATAATAAGTAGTAGTAAATATATTCAGGGAAGTAGCGAGAGGGGGTGTAAAACCCCCTTAACTTGCTGCCAACTAACAACTAATCAATTTGAATATAGTAGACGAAAGAGTTTACTCATTTATTTTGGGAAATTCGCAGTCTTTTCGATGGAAAATCGGGAATGATTAATAGCTATTTATTACCATGGGAGGAAAATAGTGCTTTTCCTCCCGCGAATAGTTTGATGCCCGACGCGAAGCGAAAGGCATTAAATATTCAAGGGAGGAAACGCATTTTCCTCCTGAGGTATGTATATGGTTTTTTCTATTACCTTTTAACGGTTTTAAGACATTTTAAGCGTTCCGGTTCCCTTTACTAACCCGGTATGGGGCTATAAAATTATGACAAAATATTAAGTAGGTGTCGCCGACGTTATGTTGACAACGCTTTGTTGCTATGGTATTTTTGGTAGAACAAACAATAGTTTTTATGAGCTGTCAAAATGTTTATCATAAATTTGAAATTCTTCCTACGTTTTGAAAATAAGTTCTAGCGAAGAAGACCTGCCGCAAGATCTTGCTAAAGAGGCAAGAATGGTTTCAATTAATTTCCTTCCTTAAAAATCGAAAGAGCGATATGTATAAAAATGAATATAGTTTGTTCAAAGAATGGTTGGACAAGCGCGGAGTAAATCTTTTTCCTACAAAATCAAATAGGGCTAGACAAGGTACAAAAACTCTTGCTAATGTAAAATTGTTAAAAAAAGAGGGAGGAAAATAGGCATTTTCCTCCCTCGCTCGGGGGTGGAAAATTAAGTTTTCTAGTAAGGTAGTAGAAAAAATATATTTTTAATGCCTTTAAATTTCAACACTTAACTATAGGGATAAGTTTCACTGACCAACTTAGTTCAAGCTAAAATTAACAACAAATTGTAGTTCAAAAATTACAAATAAGGCTACATATAAAGGGTGTCCCAAAATTGGCGACTGAAAGGGTAATAATAAATTCCTCTTGAAATTCCAAGACGAATTTTCCTTTACCAATTTTTGGAATTCCCAAAACTTGCAGGAATTTCTGCAATAATGTGAATTCGAAAAATGAATAAAGAAATTCTTGTTGGAACTTTAGGAGAAATTCAGCTTTACCCTTTGGGCCGCCAATTTTGGGACATTGTCATTGCTACAAGGGGTGACAAGGAGTTAAGTTATAGCAGGTGAAAGAAATTTTCTGAAGAAGCTACTGTGTTAGCGAGACAATTGTCAAATTTAATTAAAATAAATTCGTGAAACTCAAAAAACAGTTTTTTATCTAGTTATACATTAGTGACATGGAGTAAAGGTAAAAACAGTAAAAAAAGATTATATAATCTCGAGTATAATCTTTAAAATATTATTTGTAAATCTATTTCTATATCTAAATCTATACTATACCACTGGTATCAGGTACATTATTATGTCATCCAATAAATTATTTAATAAAAGTTTTAAAATTTATAAGATTTACATAACATAAATTAACATTAAACTATGTTTATTAGCCATGTTCAGGAGGTTTGGGAAGTACCACAGAACATAAGGGAAGTACATTGCAGGGAAAGAGGTAAGGGGAGTTCTTCTTCTTCTTCTTCTTCAACTGTGTAATGAGTCATTACTAATGACCTTTCCCTTACGGGATTTAATGTTTTAATTTAAATATGATCAAGGGTCTCAATCAAGAGAATCTAAGTTTAACTCATCCCTTGAATCATTTGAAACTTGATACATAATATACTATTTTAGTCGCACTTTCAAAAATGGACAAAATAATTGGTTTAAGTCGTAATGCTTTAACATTACGATAAAATCGTATAAACTTCTATAAAAAAAATTTTCCTTAAGTATTACAGTGCTATAGCCTTGCACTATTTGTTTAAATAAAATTTTGTAAAATTCAAATCCAGCTTTTTAAATAATTTAATTAAAACTGATATGCTTACAAAAATAAGTTATTATAACTTTCAATAAGGTTTAAAAAAAAATGCATAACTTTGCTCATACTGGCAAGAATCCTAAATATTAGTCAAATGATTTGGCGAAAAGGTGGCATAACAATTTTTTGCTACTAGCTGCTTCTACAGCTGATGTATTTTTTTAAATGAGTATTTTTTAGTCATAATACTATAAAATATATTGTTATTATGTAATAATTTATATGAAATAAAAATAATTGTCCCAAAGTATTCACACTCCTGTAAACAAAAAACAAAACATTTTTTTTTGGTCAATAGGAATGCACAAACAAAATTAAATTGAGGTATTCAATTACTGCAATAAAAATCCTATCCTTTAGTGACATAACCTGAACAAACAAAAAATAAGAATAAAATTTAGTTATAACTTCTAACAAAAGTTAACTGATTTTTTTAAATTTTATATATGCCAGTTATAGGCTGGCCAGTACGCAGTCCAGATTTAAACGCAATAGAACATGTTTGGGACTATCTTTATAGAAGGGTAAGAGCTAATCTACAAAAGCTGCAACGGCTATTAACTGCAGAATGGGATAATTTGAATAAGGATTATTTAAGGACATTGATTGGAAGCATGCCACAACGTTGCCGTGAAGTAATAAGAGCTAGAGGAGGCAATACGCGTTACTAAATTTAATTTATGTCATTAAATTTATTTTTATTTAACATTGTTTTTTGCATTTTTCATTATTTGTGAATTAAATTGAATAAACTCATTGTTTTTCGTTGATGTTTTTTTATGATTTTACAAATAAAAGAACTACAAAATATTTAAAAACATTTGTATATCATTGATATATTTGTAGTAGTAAGAAACAATGGTTCCTGGAAATAAAAATATTTTTTTCATTAAAACTGCTGTTACATACATTTTATACTGACTTTTCCGAAATTTTACATTCTTTGCCGGTTTTCCAGAAAAATGGTAACTTTTGATTTTCTAGTTCTGATTATATCACTTACCATGCATGAAATGCTGAGGCGGCGGGTGCCTAAGAGACGCCGGAGGAGGTCCAATAGGCGGCAGTTGCTTAGGCTCGTCATCGTCGGAATCGTGCGGCATCGTGGCGAACTGCTTCGGCCGAATCGTACCGTACTGCGGCTGCGCATTGTTGCCGGATTGCGGACGCGGCTGCGCACCGGGTGGTGTTGGCACAGCAACCGGCGTTGTCGACTGCAGCATGCGAGTGATCACAGACGGCGCAGGCTGCGTTTGCGAGAACGGTTGCGGCGCCGGTGCCACTTCAATGCTGCCCCGACTCTGCGGGGCGGCAGGTTCCTGTTTTACCGACACTTTTTTAATAAGCGTTATTTCGTTCGATGTTTCCAGATTGGCCAGGGTTTGTTCCAGACTCTTTTTGGATTTAGGACTCGCTAAAACAAAGACAATTTTATGAGACTCAATTAGATTCCCCATGTGGTGTTTTACATCAAAAATGTCCATTTTGACATTTGACGTAGAAATGCAGTGAGATTATGTACTATGCTCCAGTGTGGAGTCCACACCCAAAAGTCCAACTTTTCGCACATCCAGTTCAAGAACACCATAACTCAAAAATCAACAGTTTTGAGTTATTGTGGTTTTTAAATACTTTAACAACCTTAGAATAGATTTAAAAAACCTTCATAGCTTAAGTCCTATTTTTAAGAACTTACATACATTTATATTGAACTAAAATATCTATGTAGTCCAAGTTCACACTCACCATATAAAAATATATGGTGCTTAAATTATTCTAATTTATCTTAATATTGTGTGGAAGACCAATGTAATTTTATTTAAGTTGAAATTAGGTTTTATATTTTTTAATAAATATTATTTTGGGTACTTATTTATTTGTTATATTACCAAAAATCTGTTTTATTTAGTTTAACAAAAAAAAAGTCTAAATGCCATAAACCTATTAGTTAGAAAATATGAGACCAATGTTTAGTGCAATACCAACATATTTGTTTAAATAATAAAATAAAATCTTTCTAAAAAATATAGACGTTTACAAAATATACTGATTAAAAACCATTGGATTTACCATGTAGAGCTTGCAAAAGGGCGTTATTGCCGTCCTTACTTTCTTCAGTAAATTCCTTTAACCTTTGCAAAACTTTAAACTGGATTATCTCATTTCAATGTTTTTTGAGTTACGGTGGTATTGAACTGGGTGTGCGATTTGATGCGGAACGCAGTCTTTTGATAACTTGACATTTATGTATCTTTTAAAGTAAAGTCAACGAAAGACATTATATTTATAAGTTTACCGCTTATGTTTAAGCGTTAAAAATGAATAAATCTTTTTAGTATCACAATAACAATGGTTGTTTTAATAAGAATGTAGGATAATAAATGAGAATGTAGGGTAATAAATACTGCATTTAATAGGTTTTAAGTATAGTGCCGAATTATTATTATTTTTGTTCATTTGGTATACATAACCTGTTTTCTTCTTAATTAAAGATTGTTTAACTGTATGTGACGCGATCCGAGAAAAGGGACCTAATGTCCAAAAACTGATTTTCGAGATTATCAATATTTTAAGTAAAGTGGTAAATGATCTTTTAAAATGCCCAGAAAGAATTTGTTTGTCAAGAAAATTGACGTTACTACAAAAACGCCTATGCCGCGTGAACTTCAATCGAAACTATTGTAAAACTTGATTTTGGATACTGGGTCCCTTTTCACGGATTGAGTATATTATATTATAAAATATCAGATTTTTTAATTTTAAGTTTAGGGCTGGTTTTAAGCAAAATAACTAAGTATTTTGGAGTATTTGAACAATTGTTCTATATAGTTTAAATAAAATTAAACATTTTATACTTTTAACGGCAAAACTATCCTACCCTTTACCCTACAAACCATGTCGGCGCAAATGTTGATTCGACAACGGACAATTTATGGCCCAGCATTTTTATCGTCAGTCGTCAGGAAAGTTCCACATGCTGTGCATCATTGCAAATTAACGTAATTATATGCATTTCAGAATGTCAAAGTGGTTTGTAAGATACCTATAGATTACCTATAATACGTATAGCTGAGCTGGAGCTGGGTTATAAGAAACCAAAGTTGCATGGTATGCATACATAATTTTTAGAGAAACGTGCATATGCAAATATTTAATACTTCTATAGTGTATGATTTATTTAATTATATAAAGTTTTTATGTTTGTTTAATGTAACTTCAATTGTAGCTTTTATACTTGTATCAACAAAACTTTATGTATACTTTGAGCTGGGTTAGAAAACCCATAAACTATTTTTTAGAACTACCTAAGTGTAAAGTAAACATATTAGATTTATTTAAATTTTAAAAGTTGTATGGTTCACTTGTAATAATAAACAAAGTAGGAGATCTAAAATCTTTTTAGCAAACCTATCACAATTTATTAAAAAAAAAAACGTAAATTGTTGCATAACTTAAAATTCCTTATGGTGTCTTCAGCTAATATACTACATTATAATCATTTTAACCAAATTGTACAACTCTTAAAATTTAAATAAATCACCTATAGAGAAGTATCACATAATATTAACACTTTCTTCAAAAAATTTTTTACAGTATGTATATCTAATCCACCTTAAAGTTAGTATAAAGTTTTGTCAAAGTATAAAAGCGTTGACTAAATTTTATCTACATTGAACAATCATTATAATCACTATGAATAAATAACGCAATATAGGAATATTAAATATTTTCACATTGTATCTTCATTTATGGTTTCATATAATCCTTTAAGTAGGTAGGGATAAAGTTTTGTGATAGAAGCATAAAAGTTTCAATTTAATAATATTGAACAATTGTTCAGTATTTATATTGATATGATCTTATTAACACAGGCTTTCAAATACTCAAAAATACTAATTTATTTTGGTCAAAAGTGCTTCAATGGGTACTAAAATCTAATTAAAAAAATCAGATATCTTTTACCTTACTTACCTTTGATACACAAGTTCAGCCTTTTTAAAATAAATACAGTTTAGTTAAACAATTTTTAAGGAGAAAACAAGATATGTAGATCAAATGCACAGAAATAATACTTATTAAACATTTTGTTGTGTTACTTTAAAGATTTCCTAATTTTTAACGCTTAAACATAAGCGATAAAAGTAAAAATATAATTTATTCAACACCCATTTAATTTCTTAACTTCAAACAGTGGGAGAAATAGCATTTCGCCCATGGGCTGATGTTTAAGTTGAACAAACTCAGCAGAAATAGGAAAAATACTAATATAAAATGTTGTATTATTAATTAAACATAAAACAATTCTATCATATTAATTTTTTGTTTTAAATTCCAAATTATAAATAGGATTTTTTTTTCATCCCAGCTTATGTCCGAAAATCTATTCCGAATGAATTAAATTTTCTCCGCAAACGCCGTTTTGTTTCATAATAATTTTCTCTTCGTGAACGCTATATTTTAAAATGCGCATGCATAGGATGGCCGATTAGTTTTTTTTTTATTTAATTTTATTTATGTATTCAAAAATGCGATGTTTAAGTTACTACACTGCATAATGTCATTAATACATTTGATTGACAAAATAATACAAGTACAATTTAGGATCAGAAATGACCTGTTAAAGTGCGACAGAGCATACCATGCTCTGATTGGATATCATATTCTATAGTAAATAACCAACCTGCAAATTTTAAGAAACACTCCCCTGGTTCTGGTGAAAAATGACTTACCTCGTTTCTTTATGCTTGGTTCAACGGCAACAGCAACAGGCGTCGCTCTCGGTGGGGCAACGACCACAGGGGGACCAAATTCGGCAAAACTGGGAAGCGACACGCCAGGAGGTTCCGATAGGTCGTCGTCTTCGTTTTCAGCGTGCATCAACGAGGCCGAGTCGCTGATCATCGGCTCGTGCAGATTTACGGGCGGCGGTAGAGGCAACGCAGCCTTCTTCTTCTTCTCTTCCTCTTCCTCGAGCTTTTTGCGTTCCTTTTCCTTCACTTCCTCTGCCGCCTTTCTGATCGCCTCGTCGATTTTTTTCTTTTCCATGTCCTCTTCCACTGCTACTTTTTTCGATTCTAGCTTCTTCTCTTCCTCTAGTTTTTTCTTAGGTTTTTCAGATTTTTTTTCTTCGTCGTCGTCATCGTCGTCTTCATCGATTATGTTCTTCTTTTTCTTATTTTTTTTCAGCGGCACGTCTTCGGACGAAGAAGAATCTTCTTCCACTTCATCCACAACTTCGTCGCTCTCCTCCTTTTCGTCTTCCTCCAGTTCACTAGCTACATACTCGTCGCTTTCTTCCGTTTTTTTCTTTACCTAATTTACAATCAAAACGAGGGATAAACAACAGGCATAATTTTTGTACAAATCAGACAAATCTACTCTACAAATACATAATGAATAAATATGTGACAAAGTTTTAATTAACCATTCAAAATGAATACATTCTAGAATAAGTAAAATATGTATCCAGCAAAATCAATCAATAAACTTTATTACAGACACTTACTTTAAGTATAATATTTTTATCTCTTCTCATTGCGATAGAATAAAGAGAAGACGACGTCAAGTAACTAGCTTTGGATAGGTAGTAGCATAGCTACATTACCGATATTTTGACATATGTTGACGCCTGTCATGAAATGTATAAAGAAACTATAAAAAACAAATTTATGTATATTTACAATAAAAATAATTGAAAACAATATTTATTATCTATGATTTAAACTATTATTTTCAGTTGAAAGGAAAGGTGAGTAATTGGAAGGTTTTTGAATTATTTGATTCTATTTTCAGAAATATTTTATACGATTAAGGAAATTTTTCCACCAGGCTAATTAATTTGATATCCATGCTTGCTTGTGCTTGTAATCAAAATCTAAATACACACAGAACATAAATATGTAAATACAACAAAAATTGAGGTTAGAAATTATGACATCTCCACTCGCACTTGTTTTTCAGCTTCCTATTGGTTGGGAATAATCATTAATTCCTCAAACATAAAAATTGGTTATCTCTACAGCTAGAGAATGCAGTTACAGCATACAGCCTATGACTATAAACCGTAGCATGGAATAGTATATTCTGTAAAAAGTTTGGAATATGTAATTCCAAATGTGTTTCAGAGGTTGAATTGGTCTAAAATTTGTTGGATAATAAAGACAGAGATGGTGCTGTTACTATTCTTGTGCAGTAGGTCATAGGTCCAGGTCTATAAAATTTAGGGTACATATTTTTAACAACAGATACCATTTTATGTGATTTTTTTAAAACAAGACAAGCAAATTGTAAAAATGTTTAAAGTGGTGTAAAGATATTAACTATCAAATATTATTTCCAAACTTATGTCAATAGAGGGATACTGTTATTTTGATATAATTGACAAAAATATCGCCTCCTCTTTATTCAATCTCAATGGTATCACTCTTAACATATAAAAAACAACTCAATAACCACTTAAAACGCGAATCATACAATATTTCATCTACAGACACTAAAATAAAGAGAAAAAAACAAATTCAAAAATAACGTTTTTTACAAGTTATTGACAGCAAGTTTTTTCGTAACTAACACGTTGGTTTTTTAACACTAGTGTTATAAAATGATATTTTAGACACAACAAAGTCTTTGTATAGTAAAATATTTGTTATAAAGCTTTACAAACTACAAAATTGTATACATGTAATAAAATATTTGTAAAAACAAAAAATAAAATATTTGAACGCCAACAAATGTAAAAATGCATAGCAAAAGGAAAGTGACTATAGAATAAAAAAAAATATTTAAAGCAATATAAGCCACAAGTCAAATCAGTGGGTAACTTTATCTAATAGGTGTACTTATTTTGCTTGTTGTCGACCCCTCTAACCGAAAGATGTTAACAAAAGTACTACAGCAATTAATTTAAATTATTTACCTCCTCCTCACTCTCCTCGGAATCCAAGGGTAGCACGTATGTGGTTTTTTTGCCGCGAGTCCTCCGTCTTCCCCTTCCTTTCTCCTCTTCGCTAGACTCTAGCCCTCCATATTTTATTTTCGGTTTTTTCTTTCTCTCCCCATCCGAATCATCTTTCTTCTTTTTCTTCGACTTTTTCTTGGATTTATTTCTGTCAAATAATGAATAATTATAATTAGAAAATGTAGTGTTTTTTCGGGAAGAATCATATACATATGTCTACCGACAAGGGAAGGTATGCACGTCGCATCGGCTATTCTATACGTTGGTAATAATTATAATTAGAAAAATTAGTAAAAATGTATTGTATTAGTATGTATATCCACAAGGGAAGGTAAGCACGTCGCATCGGCTATTCTATACGTTGTTTTGTTGTCTCCATCCTAACTTTACTTTTTCCTTAGAAATGTTATTTTTTGCTGGCTTCTTAGGTTAGTTTAGACACTTAATACATAACTTACAAATATTTTTATCTTTATAATTAAGTGATTGATTATGGCCCAGGTCTATAAATATCATTATGGGCTAGTAATTAGTGGTTAGGCGTCAGTAATTGGCCGATTTCATTATGCACTGTGATTTGAACCAATCATTAAATTCGACATCTGTCAGAGGTTCTAACCTCACTTTCTACTTTTAAAAATTTTACGTTTTACGTATTTTTAAATAAAATTGAGTTTAAATTCTAAAACACATTAAACACAACATGAAGATGAATATATGCCATTCGGCCCAGGTTTTTTTGTGCTTTACTCAATTGTAAGCTTTGAGCTCAACAGAAAAAGACACACTTCTTGGCCTAATGACATAAATATCTATTATATAAATACATAGTCTCAAAAAATGAAAATAACAAAATTAAAATTATATTTTTAAACCCTTATTTATAAATATCCTACGCCTACGGCGTGGCACACCGTTTGAGGGAACGTTAGGAAAACTTTGTATATTAATAGATTTTGGTCCAAAATATTTTTAAACTAGTATCATATTTAAAAATGACTGGCCACATTGTGAATGTGTCGTGTAATAATGATGTATATGTATTTTTATAAATAACAGCTTCAAGACTCTTGATTCAAGAGCTTTTTAATAATACCAAATACTAGTGGTTTAGTCTTTAATTTTATTTAATTATACAGGTAATCGTACATTATAGACCAGGCGGAAAAAGCACATATCGCCGAGCATACATTTTAATTTAATAAGCTTTTGACGCCACGTTTTATATAGCATTTTTTAGCATTTAATTAAATAATATTTAAAGATTTTGTCACATTATTTTTAGATTAGGTTCAACTGACATGACATTTTAGCATTATTTCTGTAAGGAGTTTAATAATAATTTGACTGAACTATACCTAATATTTATTTATTTATTTATTATTATTTATTCAAATTGGAACTAATCAATTTCAATTTGGAATGTAACAATTTCAAATTGGGATTAATCAACTAACACGTTAAAAATGGGAATAAAGAAAGTCAAATTGGAAACAAACAAATTCAGTTTGGTACTAATCAACTTCAAATTGGAATTTACAATGAAATCGTAATTCATTCTTTCATACGTTTTGCAAGTCGAACGGCAGTCACGTTTAAACTTTATATTAAATTAATTTAAATGCCTTTAGCCGGTTACAGACCTGACGAACGTTTTCATTCGCAGCCGCTGGCAGTTTTGCTCGAAACGCAAACGGACGTTTCTAGGGGCTTCCCACATATACGAGAAATTTCTAGCGTTTGTAGCAGTTTGCATTCGACAAATTTTATTCGCAAAGTTTCAATTGAACAGCCTTCCTCTTTTTGTGAAAAAAAACTTAAAAAAACTAAAATAATGCTCTTGAGCGCCACCAGTGTCGTGTAGTATTTTTATATAGACCCAACTCTATATAGAAATACTTGTATGGTTAAAAAACTACCCTATAAACAGGTCATAAAAAATAGGTTACTACTACCATGGGTTACACTCGGGGTTACCAAACTTTTGTTGTTTCCATGCTTTTTATTAAAATGTCCAAGTTTAGATGTGTATAATCTGTGGATGTGTTGTTTTATCGTCAATAATATAGGACATATAGGTGAGGCATCAGACACATTCACAAATAATTTTTACAGCACAGATTTTAAGAGATTCTTCGAGCGTGGAGTTTGGTAACACGCGAGTAGAATTTCCTCTTTTGACCAATAGTCGCACAAGATGTTTTATTCAAACCACAAAAAATTTACAGCTAGTTTTATTTAATATTTTATCTGACATTTGACAGCTCTCAATTAGTTTTAGCCTCACTTGTTTTACAAATTTAATTTAAAGCTAACTTCAGAGAAGTACAATTTCGCCCACCGCGGTGCACCGGTTAAAGTTGAGAATGCGACATTTTTTTCAGAAAAATAAGAAATGTACAGGCAAGCTTTAGTGAGCAAGGATCGGTCTAATTTTGTTGGATATAAAACAGAGAGATGTTGCCACCAGTGTTTATTCCGTCATCCGATGATAAAATAATTCATTCTGCAATACCGCGTCATACCACGTCATTCCACATTAAAAAGTGATATTAGAACGGTCATATTCCGTAATAGGAGTATACTGTTTTCCATAGAAAACAGTATTTTCTGTAACAAGTTTGGAATACGGCATATTCCGCTCGAGTGAAAAGTTTAATTAGAGCGGAGTATTCAATTCCAAACGTGTTTCAGACTATACTTTTTCTACGTTTTCAAAAAATACCATAGAAAAAATTAAATTGGGAGAAAGTGATGTTGGATCGGTATAAATTTGTTGGATATTAAATACAGAGATGTTGCAACAGTGTTTATTCCATCATCCGATGATAGAATAATTAATTCTGTAATACTTTCAGGAATATATGTCATTCCATATTAAAAAGTGATATTAGAATGGTCATATTCCGTAATAGGAGTAGAAAAACGATTTTTTAAAATAACCTATGGGAAATCTGTGGGAATAACAAGTGATATTTTCAATAGATTCTTTAAAAAATTCGTTTCTAAACTCGAGCAACATAAGATGATCATGTTGATGGCTTATAAATTAATTATTACATTATATTTTTTATGGAAATCTCAAAAGTAGTACATTATAGACCAGGCGGAGAGAGCACATATGATCGCCGAACATTCACTGCCGAGGCGATAGCCGATGCAGTAGATTGTGTGCGATGCAATTAATAAGCTTTCGCCGCCGGGTTTTATATACTATTTTTTTAAGCATTTAATTAAATTATTTATTCACATTATTTTTAGGTTAGTTTCAACTGACATGATGACATTTTAGCTTTATTTCTGTAAGGAGTTTAATAATAACATGACTTTTGAACTAGTATTAATGTCTTTCTATATAGACTATAATGTAATAATCAATAAGCCTTCAACATGATCCTCTTCAAAAACGAATTTTTGAAATCTTATTAATTGCCTTGCATACATTCTACTGCATCGGCTAATTCCTCGGCAGTGAAATGTATGCTCGGCGATCATATGTGCTTTATCCGCCTGGTCTATAATTTACTATTTTAGCACTTTTTAAAATAATCCTACAATTATTGTAATTTCAAATTTTGTGCTGCCAACTTAAGAAACACAAAAATATGACAGTTTTAAACCCTAATTTTGACTTTTAAACAAATTAACAATTTAAATTGTTACCTATTTACTTTTTATGTTGTTTTTAGTTTTTGATAATATTTTAATTTGTAATAAACTTTAACAAAGTAATAATTTGTTATTTTTTACTACATTGGCACCGCTGAATTTGTCAAAACCTATAGGTTCTGTTATTTATTTATCAAACTCTTAAAGTCCGTTTTTATGTATACAGAACTGTTAGACCATGTCTAATGGTGGATTTATGCAGCACAATTTAACATTAACATTAAGCTTATTTAAGGTGGGTATTTTATGCAACCAAACTATTGGCGTATTACGCGTGCGCATTGCCGGCTAATAATTTTTATTATAAATAAAAGAAGAATATTTTCTTCTTACATGAGCTTCATTTAAGGCACTCATTTTAAATAAATTAAAATTAAACTAGTTAAGAAAAAATAAGTTTGTTTTTTTATTTGGAATTTGACAACGTCGGAAACTTGGGGGTTTAGATGGCAAATTCTAGGGACTCTAAATTTATAATTTCCTACACTGAGTAAAATAAATCAAATTAATTTAGTGGATTTACAGTTCATTTTTTTTATTTGGACTCGTGTTTTTTTATTAAGTTGGTAGCTTATGCAAGTTTGATTTAGTCAGTGTTACCAGATTCTGTCAAAAAAAGACCGTACGTTTCGTTCGAATTTACCTTAATTACAAAAATGACTCAATGGACAATATTAAATAACGTCAACTTGACATAATTGCATTTATTTGCATTGTTTCATTGTGTCATTTTGTAATTAAGGTAAATTCGAACGAAACGTACGGTCTTTTTTTGACAGAATCTGGTAACACTGGATTTAGTATTTAAAAAATGGTTCTTCTGCACTGTCAAATTGACAGTAATATTTATTATTCATAATTTACTTGTTAATTATTATATAATATCGATATAAAAAGATAACTATGCCAGAAATAATATCATATTTAACTACTTTTTTATATGATTTTATCTACGCACCACCAAAGCTAAATTAATTGTATTTTTAACTACGAATTTTAACAACTCAACTTGACAACCATTCAATGTAACCTACAATTATTTAAACATAACCACAATTACATTATAATTACATTTATAACTAGTTTACTGCTTCCGTATTTACCAACCAAATCCTTAAATTTGCAACGTTGCCGCAGTCCAGATAAAAAAAAGAACTTTATGCAGCACAAATGAGATATTTCTTCAAAAAGCTGTTTTGTTAAAAAAAAATTGTTATGAATTTATCGAGGGGTAAACCACTTTAAAATCTTAGAGACCAACGTTCAATGTTAGTGGACGTTGTGTTGAGATTTTTTTCCTTATCAGTCGTTATCAATAAGGAAAACTTGCTTAATCGGTGCTTAATCAGTGCTTAGCGACGCGTTGTACATGACTACCCTTGTTATTGTTATCCTTAGCCGTTAATTCGTAAGCGATTTTTAATTTAAAAAAATCAGTGGTTTGCCCCTCGGAATTTATGTTATCTTTGTCATTGTTTA